TTATTTCATACATCATTTATAAATTAAGACTATAAATAATTTATATATACCATTTTTAAAAATAAAACCATAATAAATTAAAGTTATAAACAAAATATATATTAAATAGAATAATTAAGTTTAATAATACTATATATTCTCTCATTTTTAGATGAAACAAATATAATATAAATTTATTTATTTTTAATATATCATATTTTACAAATATAATATAATTTATTATGATATCTTACAATAGATAATAACAACTAACAAAATTATCATATTATTCTTTAAACATAAAAGGATATTAGAATTTTAAGACAAATTTAAGAAAAACACTTTACTTCTTCTATTACACATTCTAGCTAAGTCTTTCAAAAATTTCAATGGAAACATATACCAAAACATATGTATAGAAAAGTAATTCTCATTTTTTATTTTTTAAACTAATTATTAAAATAAATTACTTTTTATAATTATTTGATTGTGACATTCGGTTTATGTTTGAATTGCAAAAAAAATTATTTAGATTGAAAAAAAGAATGAAAAATAAAAAGAAATCAATAAAAAAAGATTAATTTGATTAATTAAAAATAAATAAATAATAAAAAATTAATAAATGATTTAGATAAAAACATCTCCATGAATAAAATCACTATAAGAAAATCGCATATTTCCGACGAATGTGTAGTCGTCGGAAAATAAGTCATTACTAACGAAAATTACTCGACGGATATAAAATATTTGTGGAATTTGGTCTTATCGATGGATATATCCGTCGATAAAATAATAATTAATTACCAACTGATATATCCGTCGGTAAATTAACAATTATTTACCGACGAATATTTCCATCGGTAAATTAACAATTAGTTATCGATGGATGGTAACTAATTGTTAATTTGTCGATAAATTAACAATTATTTACCAACGGATATTTTCATCGATAAATCCATCGACAAATTAATAATTAGTTACCAACGGATATATCCATCGGTAAAATTATATAATAATTACTTAATATATTCTAATAAATTAATTATTCACCTAATTAAAAAATTAAATATTTTTTTATTTAATAATTTAATTTAATCATAATTAGATTAATTTATAATAATTTATTAAATTAAATAATTTTAAAAAATAAATATTTAATTATATATAAATATATCAATATATATATATATATATATATAAATATATCTGTATTTATATATTTACATGGATATACATTTATTTGTATATAAATATAATTTATTTGTAAATTATTATTAAAAATTTCTAGTAACTTAATGGTTAGAATATCAACCCTAATTTTAAGATAGTGAGTTGGAATGGAGTGTAATCATAATAATTTAAAGTTATAAAAATATAATAGAAAATGAAATGTAATCCTGCAATTACATTGATGTGATGATAATAATTCAAAGTTATCAATATATAATAGAGTGTACATGATTTTTCTCTGCAAATCAATACGTGATTCTAAATTCAAATAGTAACTTTCATCTCAAATTTTTCAGAAAAAGGCTGAGAGATAATTATTCTTAAATTTATTAATTTATTTAATAATTGCTAGACAAGAGTGTACGTTTGCAATAATTTCCATATATATATATATATATGGGTGGATGCTAACATCAAATGCAAAGTGGTGACTCCACATAAAAGAAGAGTGGTGCGAAGAGTGAGAGACACAACAGTTGCAATGACGACGGAGGAAGTAGTGGAAGTAAAGGTAAATACTGAACCAAGAGAGACTCAGAGGTATGAAACCATCTCAACTCCACCACTGCAAGTTTCATCATCACACGATGGGGTCCCCAAAACTCCGAAAAGCCCTTTTGCATCTCGTTTCATGAGCACCCCTTTAGCCAGCCCCATGAAGAAAGCCATCGAAAACATGCAAGGTTACTTGGGAGAAGTTGGTCGCTTCACCAAGCTTGACCCTCAAGATGATTGGCTTCCCATCACCGAGTCCAGAAAGGGAAACGCATATTACGCTGCGTTTCATGTCCTTTGCTCAGGGATCGGATTTCAGGCCCTTATTCTTCCCTTCGCCTTCACTAGTCTTGGCTGGTCAGTTTTCATGCCACTCAAAAACTCAACACCACTTCTTATATAAACACATTATTTCTATTTTTTGTCATCTCATTTACTATATCTCTGTTTCTTGTTTAAGTATTTGATGTGTCACTACCCGAAAATATAGTATTTGATGTGATGGATTGTAACGCTTTTCACTAAGTTGCAGGACCTGGGGAATCATATGTCTCTGTGCGGCTTTTACATGGCAACTCTACACGTTGTGGTTACTCATTCAGCTTCATGAATCAGACACGGGGGTGCGCCATAGTAGGTACCTCAGACTTGCTATGGTAGCATTCGGTAAGTTGTTTAAATTGTTTTTTCTTTACTCCATGATTTACGTACGAAATTGCCAAATCTTACAAAAGTATATAATATCATAAATAGAAAAACAAAAATATTATTGATAACTTAAAATAACCTAAAATTAATTTATATAGTGATACTTTGAATTCTCCTCAGACAATCATTATCTAATTAAAAAATTAGCAATTTTTTGACCAAAGTGTAAAAAAATAAAAAAAATTATGACCAAAATTAACTCTCAATTAATTAAAATAATTGTATAAGAATTAACAAGTTTTTTCATCCATAATAATTTGTACTTAGATAATAAAACTGAAAAATATTTAAAACTATTTTACTTCATCAACCAATTCATCAATAGCTTTTGGAATGCTCCATTAACATGATTCAATATTTTATATGAAATTTTATTAATACCGTCGCTAATAACATATATCATATAAACTAAGTTTTCCTAATTTCTGTAATAATTGTTTTAAAATTACACCTCAAATTATTTATAATTGATTAATATATAAAAAAAAATTATGTTTCGATATACAACTCACATGTTAGGAATCGAGGTTAGTAATATATATATATATATAAAATTTATTAAAACATCCTTTAAGAATAAAATTATAATGAAATATAATTAAAAAAATTTAGACATAAACAATGCTATTATAACTTACAAAATTATTACATAAAATAAATTTCACGATATATACGAAGAATAATTAAAACTTTTATGCTTTTTTCCCCCTATTATTTCTCTCCTCTCTTGTCAAATTAATTTGAACCGTTAAACTCTAAAAACTAACCAATGTTTCTTTTAATAAAGATTAGCATAAAAACTTAAAATTTTCAATCATATATTTTAAAAAGATTGTACACGATTGAAATTTAATTGTTCTATCCTCTGTAAAAGTAAAAGTTTAAGATTTTAAATTAGAAATCTCAAATAAAATATTTAAAAATTAAAATAATTGAATTAAGTAAAACTCCAAATATTTGAAAATTTAAAATTTATCCTCTACACACTCTAAATAAATAACATACATAATCGTTTCATTTTATGTTTTGTTGTATTTTCTATTCACACATTAAAAGTAATTTTCCCTGTAATGGAAGAACCAAAAAGAGTAAAATTGTTCCTCGTTTTATATGATGGTTGCTTTAGATAAAAGATATGTGGTTGGCCATGTTGTGAATCAGGTGTGGTCGTTACCATTATAGTGATTGACGGTTATAGTTATTAATGGTGCAATTGATTAATTTATATTTATATGTTTGACCAAAAAAATATGGGAAATTGACAAGAAAAAGGGCAATCGAAACTGCAGGAGAAAAGACGGGAAAACTATTGGCACTGTTCCCAATAATGTATTTATCGGGTGGGACGTGCGTGACACTAATCATGGTCGGTGGTGGCACAATGAAGATATTCTTTCAGATGGTGTTTGGAGCGCCATGCCCCCTTTCAACCATCGAGTGGTATTTGGTGTTTACATGCACAGCCATTCTGCTTGCCCAGTTACCAAACCTCAATTCAATTGCAGGGGTTTCCCTCATTGGAGCCATCACTGCCGTAGGTTATTGTGCTCTTATATGTATAGTGTCTGTGGTCCAAGGTAGAGTTGCTAATGTATCGTATAAACCACCAAGGGGACAATCGGAGGCTACCATGGTTTTTAGCGTGTGGAATGCACTGGGCATCATTGCCTTTGCTTTCCGCGGTCACAATCTCGTGTTGGAAATACAGGTAATGTCTTTATGCATCCATTCATGCTTGGTCAAACATTTTGACTATCCTTTAGACACTTAAAAGCGTTTACTATTATTATTGCTTAGTTGTGTCCCCTAATTTACTTTTGTAGGGAACCATGCCTTCTGACGCTAAGCAACCCTCACGCTTGGCCATGTGGAGGGGTCTTGTGTTTGCTTACCTAGTCATCGCTTTGTGTTTGTTCCCCCTTGCCATTGGAGGCTATTGGGCCTATGGAAATTTAGTGAGTGTGATGTTCGTAAATCGTAATAGCTTAACGTTCTAATTATTATTGACCTACGATTGACCATCGACGCTCTTTGATGCCAGATTTCTACCAACGGGGGGATGTTAGGGGCTTTACGCAAATACCACGAACATGATACGTCAAAATTTATCATCGCTTTGGCAAGCTTGCTAGTTGTTATCAACAGCCTCAGTTCCTTCCAAATCTATGCAATGCCAGTATTTGACAATCTGGAATTTAAATACACTAGCACGAAGAACAGACCTTGCCCGCGATGGCTCCGGATAGCGTTCAGGGGACTCTTTGGGTGCCTTGCATTTTTTATTGCGGTAGCGTTACCATTCTTACCGAGTTTGGCAGGTCTGATTGGAGGTGTTGCACTACCAATAACCTTAGCTTATCCCTGCTTCATGTGGATACAGATTAAGAAACCACAGAAATGTAGCACAAACTGGTACCTGAACTGGACACTTGGAGTTATTGGGATGATTCTGAGTGTACTGGTTGTCATAGGAGCCATTTGGGGCATAGTGTCACAGGGCATAGAGATCCATTTCTTCAACCCACGGTAGAAATATAAGTTTGCCAATCACTTTATTAGAAGCTTATTAGCAAGCATTTGAGAGGGTTTCAAGCAGAGCGCTTAAAGTTGGGGACGCTACTCCCATCAACGATGAAATCGAAAGGATGCTTAACTTGTGGCTATCAAAGTCAGCAAACATTCTACTGATTGTGTGGTATCGTCAACTAAACAGAGGTCAATTTGATGTAAAATATCTGGAAATAAAATGTCTTTAATGTGCGGAATGATTCAGAAAAGAAAAAAAAAAGGTTGATGTGTAAATTTGCCCATGAACATTCCATTTAAAATCATAATTTTGCCAGGTATTAAGTCAGATAAGGAAATATTTTCATATCAACCTCCAAAGTGAAGTTAACAAGGGTTACATTCTCCATACAAGGCCAACATCACAGAAATTACATTCAAAAGCTAGTAACACTTCGCTTCTACCATTTAATCACCTTGTCCACAATATCACAGTGCTAAACCTATCTCGCACATATGTCGTCATTATACAATAACTCATCTGACAGTATTTGAACTTTCAACGTCAAGGGGTCAGAAACTCAATAGTAAACTTGCAGCAGTTGCACTATGTATACAGAAACAAACAGCAAAAACAAATGCCAAATATATAGATTGCGACAAGATCCTAGCATAACTAAAGCCACATTGCCTCCAACATTGATCTAGATCAACCAACTGGATAAGATTGTGTAAGTGTAAAAACATCAATTATATATACTTTAGTCAACTTGCTATAGGTGGAATCGGATGATACACAATCCAGTGAAAATGAGATGCGGGACCAATGGAAATGGTCAACAATGGCCAAGAACTTAGCCAGTAAGGACGTATGAGAATACGAAAACGTCAAAGGTCAAGCCTTGATGTCATTTTACATTGACAATGGAAGAAGCATTCTTCGTTTCTTTTTCCTTGCGAGTCTTACTTGCTTTGTAATTTTCATGCATAAAAGCAATAGAATTGTGATGCAGACTAAAATAAAAGCAAGTCGAATGTGCTGGAAGTACAGAGAGACTACGGAAAATACCAAGAAGGCTAAAATAATAAGTTCCCATATTACAAAAACCACCACATCCACCCTGCACCACAATAAAGAGGAAACAAAAGACATCATTATCACCATATTATGTTATTCCAAAAGCATTGACAAACAGATAGTAATTAACCCAACCAAAATGACAGCATTTTGTATGCATTTTAGGGCTACAAGTCATTTGCTTAATATAGTTCAATTAGAGGGGGACAGAAGGTAGGGAGGAGAAGCAATGACGAGACCAAACTACAGCCACTCTCATTTTTGTTGAACTTTCTATTCTATTAGGGGGATTTGAAGGAGAAAAATTGGTTAGAATTTGGACTTATAAACTAAATGGTTATAATTCATCTCCCTTGCCCTCCATTAATGTTTATAAGGTATAACACTAGAATTTATTTTTTTATTTTTCCTCTCTCCTCCTTTAATCAAAACCTATGACGGGGACATACTCCAAAAATGTGTCGTCCAACACATCTAATATGGATTCACATTTGACAGATATCCACAAAGTATACATTCATTTGTATTATTAATTTTTTTTTTAAATGGATAGCTCAGGACAGTTATGTAAGTACTGTAGTTTGTTTGTTGTTAAAAGGCCTGTTAATGTCCATTGTTAAAAACTCTCTTCGAAGTGACGATCTTATTATCCTACGGAGCCAAAACCTCTTCTGGATAGGACTAATGACTTTTTTTTTTAATGGCATTCTAAGTTGGGTAGGGAAATTGCATATTTTTAGTGGCATGATCATAGTAATGAAAATAAATAAATATTCTGATATGGGTGGGGGAAAGATAAGTATCGATGCTCACATGTTATTATGACCACAAATATCTTTTTTGTAAACTGTAATCATCATCTATTGACTATTATATGTTCATAAATTAGTGAGCAATTAGTGATGATGCAAATGACACTTTACAAATATTGCATATATATGTTAAATATATAAATTATTATTAACATTAACATATCTTGACCATGTCATATATTGATTTATTGAAAATCCTTGTAACCTCATATCCGTACCATATTAAGTATTGGGGATTCCTAGACCTAAACAAATAAGAGGATCTTATTTCCCCCATCCCTCCTCTACCCTTAACATTCAAGAACCCTCCCTTCTCATTAATCGTATAGGTGAAACATGAATTTGTGCTTATGATTAGAGTTGCCTTTCCAAGTTCAACAAAATTGTACTGATTGATTATCCAGAGGATTCCAAAGGCTTGGGAAAACAATGATCTAATTAGCAAATACATGTGCCATTAAGAATAAAAAATGATTTGGCAGTATGAATTTAGAAATATGTTAGAGAAGAAGAGATTCAGATTGAATTAGTTGATTTTAAAGGGTATATCTGCCATCCTAACAAAGTGTGTTAAAACTTGGAATTTAACCATATAGCCTATACCAATCTATTCCTTCCCCTACGCATAAATCCCCCAAAGTAACTACTAACTACGCCACTCATTTTCCTTTCGTAACATATGAATCTTCAAACTACTTGAAGCCACTATTCCCCACCGCCAAATTTCAACGAGTTGTGCCCCGAAAGATATACAAGTCCTCCTTTCAAGATTAGCGAATAAAAAATATGAATCAAAACCTTGTATTTTTGTCTGTATTCGTTAGCTATGCTATATCCTTGCTAAGAAAGCCTACCCTATTTTAGATAACAAAATTAGTTAAAAAACACTAATCAAGGAATCAAACACAAATGGTATGTGTTTGCCAAAAAAAAAAAACAAAAGGTGGGTCTGGGAACAAATTGAGTACTAATCCAGACAACCGCACCGAAACGAATCACCCTGTATCTGCCTACTAATTTATTTACTATAATAATTCTTTCTAATCGAATCATATTAAAAAGTAATAACAATTTCCATCTTAATTAAAAAAAGGGGGAATCAGCCAAATCCTGTAGGAAAAAAAAAACATTTCAACTAAGGAAATGAAAAATTTAAAATTAGCCTAGCGAAATTCATGATCTCGCAATCCCATGCGTACAATAACACGGACAAATAAAAGGGAGTTGATTAATAACATGGCAAGGATTTATAATTTGAAAAAAAAAAAAAACACATAATTGATATAAGAATTGGATAAGGCATACCTGGAAGTTGTGATGTTTGAAGAAGTGGAGGAGAAGAACGAGACAGAGGCCCAGTCATGCTTGGATCGAATCTGATACTCGCGCAGCTGTTCGGCCAGATTCGATCGTGTTATCATGGTAGCCTCTCTCTCTCTCTGGTTCTCCCTCTGTCTCTTCCTCTCTCGCTTTCTCTCTGTCTCTCTCTCCCCCTCTTAAATCACAAACTCTGATTCTCTCTCTAAAACGAAAACGTGCGACTTTTTCAGAGCCAGAAACGAATTTGATTGTAGTTAGAGCGAACCAATCATGCATTCCATTTGTTTAGTTTTAGGCTTTGGGCTTTCAAATTGCCCGCTAAAAGCCCAATCCAAAGGCCTTGTATTTATTTTCTTTAGTGTCTTGGATAGGTCATTTCATTTCATTTCTTTACAGGCATTTTCTATTGTTACCATGTTTTTACTAAGATCAACTCTAACTTTTCAAAAATAAAATTGACAAAACCCTTGATGGAAAGTTTCATTTCAAAAATAAATAATAATAATAAAATCACGAGTATAGTTATAGAATATTTTTCTTTTATTTTTAATTAAAAATGAACGAGTTTTTAATTTTTCCAGAAATAAAAAAAAAGGGAACCTTCGTCTTACTCATTGGCGATTCCGCTTCACATTCCATTCGATTTTGTATTCAGTGAAGAAAAAAGCAGAGAGGTTCCGTTCTGTATCTCCGTTGTGGTGGTGGATTGATAACCATGGTTTCCTCCTCAGCTTCTCCGACACCGGGCCCCGCCGCGGAGAGCTCGAAGAAGGCTTTAGGGTTTGTGGCTCATGCGTTGAAGCGAAAGGACAGCTTCATTCAATTGTTCGCCATGACGGGAATCCTTCTCCTCAGCATGCGATCCTTAGGGCAGAAATACAAAATTCACAATCTCGAAGAAGATGTTCACGCACTCAGGGACGAGCACGCTTCCCTCTCCGACCGCATCAGAATCATCAAGAGCGACCTCCTTCAAGAAGCTTCTCGTGACTCCTCCGGCCTCTTCGCTTCTCGCCTTCACCGCCTCTTTTCCGCAGAATAATGATCCGTGAGTTTTTCGTTACTGTTTTCGATCTCTCAAGAAACATTTTCAATTGTTCCTGTGCTCTCTAATAATGAATAATTAGACTTGTCAACAATAGTAGCCTTTTGAAGGTGCTTGTTACTTTCTAGGAATACATTGGTATGCTTATTGTTTGGTAGTGATTCTTATTGAGGATTTCAAGTGTTTGGTCTCGAGGATTCATATTAAATACGTTGTCCTGTGAGAATGAATCATGAATAGAAGGGATAGACGATTCTTCATATAGCGGTTTCATGACATCTATGTTTAGACATTATAGTCTTCCATGTAGAAACTGAGCTCACAGGGGTTACTTTTGTTGCTGGTTGGATTTGATGATCAGATAACTTTTCCTCTGAAAGAAGCTTCAGTGATTAGGAATTATGTTTTATGTGTTAAGTGACTTTGCTGGAGTAATACTTAATTTTCCTTCAAACCTGATGCAAACCATTGCTCCTTCCAGCACACCTCAACTGCAATAAGAATCTTCATTGTACAATAATTCAAGAAAAACCAATCAATGTTGTCCTCGATAAACTTTGTCGAATGCACTAAAACTGTTTAAGTAATGTTTGAAATATTCAATATCCATCATTTTAGTCTCTCGGTTAATATATTTTAGTAAAGTTTAGGGACCAATTTGATTTTTTTTTTTTTAAATTCAGGAGGAGAGTACTTAATACGATTTGGAATACTTGTTTTGCACTACATATTTAAGGACTATTAAAAAGAGAGTAGTAGTTCAGAGATAAAATTGATGGTTTACTTTACTCATAACTCAATTGTTCCCCTGGTGGTTTTTTATTTTGTCCCATGCCAGCACGCACCGTCTACTTGACCAGTTGCATAATTTACCATATACATTTGACGTTGAATCCTCACACACTCATCCACATGTCACACCAATTTACTTTGATTAATTTTTTGAAATATTCAGTCGATCTGCTATATTGTTTGGATTTCTTCAGTGTTTGTTGGATTTGGTTAATTCATTACCTTGGTTTTTCGTTTTATTTTGTAACTATTCTCTCCCGCACAAATGTTGATTTAACTAACATATTGCTTGCCCAAAATATACAGTCACGCTGATATTTTACCTGTTTTCCCCTTATAGAATGGTTTATTTAACTAGCACGTAATCCGTGTTTACTTAACCACCGATTCATTCTGTCATGTACTTTGTAAAAACCTTTCAGATCAATTATGACTATGTTCTAATTGGATGATAATGGCTTCTGAGTTAATAATAACTCATCACCACTATTTCTTTTAAATTGACCTATAAGACCAACGGTAAGGTTCTTCGTATAATATAGACCTGTTTGGATAAATTTTTCCATGGGTTTCTTCTTGCTAGGTGAGAAAAATAAAAGGAAAAATTGGAATTAACTACTCCATAAGCTAAAATTAACTTATGTACAAATTATCAATAAAAATTTGGAGAAGCTAGCAAGAAAGTTTCTATAAATTAACTTATGCATAAGTTAATGGTAATTTATGGAGATGTTAATATCAATGTTTTTTTCTTATTTTTCTCTCTTGTTTATGGCGAAGTGTGACATATGACTATTTCTAGGGTTGGAACTCATTCATGATTCTTTTTATTTGTTCAATATATCTTACGAATTTAAAATTCTATCATGAATTTAATTTATATACATTAATCATGTAGAGTCTTTTACGTTATTATTCACCTTAAATGGTAATGTGTGGTAATTCTTTGACATTAGATCAAGTTAATAAATATTTTCAAAGTTAAACCTGTGATTTTTTTTTCTTATTGATTAATAGTATAAACATATTTCTAGAAAAATGTGTTTTATTATTTTCTTTTAACAAAAGTTAAATTTTTTTATGAAGTTCTTCTTGGAATCAAATTTGTTAACCAAATTATCTTATTAAAACTTCGATTTATTAGTTATCCAATAATCTAACTAAATTTCAGCTACGATATATTGACTCTCCAGGTTGAGTGGATTTATCCTCACATCTGTGGTGGTAACAAATATGAAGAATGACATTTTGACAACTAATTTTAAAAATTAATTTTTGACAACTTTCTTATGATAATATAATAGTAAATTTCTACTTAATAATTTTACTTAATTATTATTGCATTATTATATTTTAAAAGATTGAATTGTAAAAATATCACCACTAAACAAAAATGGCGGATTATTGGGATGTATTGAGAATATAATATTTGGAAGTATCAAAAATTAGGAAATGTACAAGTATTAAAATTAAAATTGAAATACATGTATACTTTTAGATAATATATAAAAAAACCATTCACATAGAAGATATTAAATATTTTTAAAATATGGAAAATCACAACTAAGAATTGCCAATTTCACATATAATTGTGAGTTTGTCTTTGGACGAGTCCCTGCACGTCTCTAGGAAAAAAAAGGCCTTTTCATAAATAAAAAATAAGAAAAGTTATATATGAACAAAAAAATCAAATTAATTAATGCATAAATTAATTTTAGTTTATGAAAATTTATTTTAATTTTTTTCTTTTTTTTTTCACAAAGAAGTTTACGGATAAATTTGTCGGAACAAAATTTATATAAACTCTTGTGACAATTTTTTACGAAATTTTTTATTGTTTGTATTTTAAAGAGAATAATAAGTAACCATCAATGACCAATAGTTGTTTTAAAAACAGAAGAAACAATTCCGACAAAGTTTGTAACTTTTTATAAAGAAATAATGACAAAGATTGTAACTTTAAAAAAGAAAATCACAACAAATCATCCATACCTAATTTGTTTGTTCTTAAGATTTCCATGGCATGTGGGTTTTGACTCATTTACTTAGGGTTTTGACTCTTACACTCGAGATTGAAAATATTCAAACCTCAACGACGAAAAGGGTGTCGACATTACAAGAGAAAAAAATGTTAAAAAAAAAAAAGTTGACAGAAAGATTAAATTTTGCTAATGGAATTTAAGTTATTTACTACATATGTTTGTAAGTTTGATTAATGAAGAAAGTTATTGAAAAATATTTAATTTAAAAAAAATGCAAAACAAATGAAAATGAATTTATTATACCATTGTTAGTAGAAAATCGAGAAAAGTGATCGAAAAACGAAGGAAAGAAAAATCGAGAAACATGTGATTTATTGATAAATCGAAAAGATGGATGAGAAATCATTCGATGTTCAATTAGAAGTGCGTGACACATAAAATCGAGAGGTAGAATCAAGAATCGAAGGAATAATAGTTAAATGTCTATTGTCGAATAAAAACCAAGAATTTAGAAGTATATGACGTTAAGGTTAAAAGGAATCGAAAGCAATTCAAAGTTCTCGAGATCTTAAAATCGAAATTGAGGGAAAGATTAACTTACGAGGATATCGAAACCTTGACCAAATCATAAAGAGAAGAATAGTTAAACACGCAGATAGGAAGCAATTTTTTTTAACCGTAGCAGAGGTCGAAGATCATGGGAACGTGGGTGCGGTTTTAACACCACAGGAAAAGAAACCGCAACATGCACGAAGAACGTGGTAGCAGTTTCGTTAACTGCTCCTAAGAGACTACTTGAAAGATGATCTATAAATAGAGCAAAAGATGAAAGGAAAGGGGGGGGTGGAAAAAATTGGCAGAGAACAGAAATACTAGTGAGAAGTCTACCGGAGAACGACGAACATCATGAAGTTTCTGGCGATCTGGATTTCCATGCTCATTGAGTACATTTACCGCTTTCTTTATTTTCTCTGGTAATCTAATTTGATGCAATTTATCTTTAGCAACTTTAAGTTTCTGTACTTTCGATTCCTTGTCATTTCCTTTTATGAAAGTTAAGTTTCCGCATTTAAGCTTCTTGCTATTTACATTTCTGTAATCTCGATTCCTTGCTATTTACATTTTTTTGCGTATTTCGATTTCCTGCCAGTTATATTTTCTGCAATCTCGATTTCCTGCCATTTACATTCTCGCTACTCCAATTTCTTGTCATTTAATGCAAATTTGAGGTTTCTGCATTTTTACCTCTTGGCAATTCAATTTTCGATACTATGTAAATTTCGATTCTCATATGCATTTCAATTGAAAATCAATTTGCTAGCCTAAGTAAAAAAAGAACTTGCGTGGTTGAATTTTGATTAGAATCAAAACCTCTTAAGAATCGGAATCGATCGAAATTCCACCAGAAACAAATTGGCGCGCCAGGTAGGGGATCTTGTGTTGAAAATACACAAAATTGGTTAGTTTGAAAGTATATGAGATTAAGGAGTGAGCGAGTTATAAGAATGAGTCAGAATCCACCAAATAACCAGAGTAACAGTCAGGGTCTAAATGGTGCACATCCACCAAATACTGGGGGGCAAAGTTATAATGGGAATATGCCTGTAATATCGACAACCGTGAGTATGTCGATACCTGTGAGTAATGAACAAAATGCAGGCACATTAGCAAACACCCAAGTAGGATCTAGTACGGTGACACCAAACAATATGCAAACTATGGGAAACCCCATAACAACAAATGCTGGGCCATATATGAGCGTAAGACCACCCGGGTTTTCGCTTAGTATGAATGGGGCTGGTACCTCTTCGATACAATGAAACTCGAGATTTAACCTAGGAATGCCTCGTAACTCGTGTACCTTTCAAACTCTAGGTATGCCGCAAAATTTCGAGTCTCTCCGAATTTAGGATCTCAAAATTTAGTAACCCCCGTAATCTGTGGAGTGGGCGGAATTTAGGTACACAACGAGACACCTCCAAATCTAGATCACAGAGCAAATCTGGATCATGAGAGAAATGCATTCGATAGAGATTATCATCGATCTAATTTTGAGACTATTGAAAACACTAGTACTAGGATCTCCAAGCAACTCACTAGGAGTACTTAGACAACAAATGGATGAGAGCAATTTTGAGATGGTGAATATGTTATCACAACAAGTTGACTACAAGTCCTCAATCCATTAGTTCAAAACACTACCGCTAGTTTTGAGATATTAGC